ACGCCCATAGGGCGTTGCCACATACCCATCACTCTTAGAGCGAAAGGTCGGGACTAGACTAAAAAACCAAAACGACTTGTTGTATACATAAAATTAATTGTGAAAATTGACAATTTTTTTCAAGGAAATCTGTAAAAAAAATCCTTACATTTTGACCCTACTGACTTATGGTGGTGAAAATCTGAATTTTTTAAAAAGTGTTTGGATGAACTTTTGTGGTTTGTGGTGGGAAAAGTCAATAAGTTGTTTTTTAAAAGTGTTTGTATTAACTTATACATGTTTTAAAGGATATTTGACTTTTACAACCCAAAATGTTAGACAAAATTACAAGAATGGTCCTTGTGGTTAGGTGAAAATTGTCAATTTGGGTCAAAAAAGTTTGGACTTGCACTCATGGTCCAAATGTCTTTATTTTCTTGCCACTTTGTTCCAATTTACTTTAAACATTTTTGTAAGGACGATTTTGTCCTTGGTTTTTGTTTTTTCAGTTTTTTTATTTATTTAAAGACTTTTATAATTAAAAGAAAAATAAAAAAGAAAATACATCTCTTTCTCTCTCTCTCTCTCTCTCTCTCCGCTTCTATTCCACGTCACCCGTCAACACTGCCTCCACCAGTCAACTCCTAGCAGCACCATCGGTTACCATCGCCACCACTCTCGATTTTCCAGTAAACACCATCGCCATCGGTCAACACCTCTTTCTTCCTCCACCTGCCGGAAAAATATGAATGACCGCCACTTCCACATGCCAGAAACCACCGTCACCATATCTCTCTCTCCAAATTTTCTAACATACAAGAACACAAGAAAACTGAAATTTAACATACATAAACCACAAACATATAAGAAATCTGAACACACAAGTGGGAGACGAAGAGAGACAGAAACATAGATCGGAGATCAGAGCTACAAACTCTGTTCCGTCTATTCTCGCTTCAACCCTTCACAAATGTATATCCATCTTCTACCTTAAATCGCCGTCATCGCCTACAAAACCCCAATCGATCTTCTACCTCTTATCTCCTCCACCCTTCGTGGTGAAACCCTTGGGAGTTTTGATGCCTTCGATCTGTGAAAGTGAAGTCTGACGAAAAGACAAGAAAGGAGGTCTGACGATCTGTTCGTGGTGAAGGGGTGAAGCAAGAACGGAGATAGACGAACTCATACGGCTGTCGCATCTGCAAACTCTACCAACAACGCACCGGTTATCGAGTTACAGATTTGAGCAATCCCAACGACGCCGCTCAAACCCTCGTGTCATCGAAGAAGGAGATAGATATTCTGAAAATCCTAAACACTACTAGAAACCTTACAATGTCGCCGGTGACACACAGATGGAGGCAACGTATTCGGAGAAAAAAATTGACAAACGGTCCATCCCTCATTTTTTTTTCTTTGGCGAAGTCGGCGCCGAAAAATACAAGGGTTCCGGCATCGACGGTGGGTTTGGTAGTTCGACTGGCGGTGGTTGGCAGACTGGCTGTGCTGGTGTTTTGTGACGAAATGAAAAGAGAGAGATGTAGAGAGAGAGAGATGGAATTATTAAGGGTGAGAATTCGGTGGGGTAATTTCTTATTTTTTTTAATTTAGAAAAATGTTATATTAAATAAAAAATAGAAAATGAAAATGTATAGGGTAAATTCATCATTTTAAGAAAATTCAAACCAAATTGGACCAAACTCGCAACAAAATGATATTTTTTGGACCATTGGTGCTAGTCCAAACATGTTTTTCCCAAAATGACAATTTTCGACATACCACCGGGATATTTCTTACAATTTTGTCAAAAAGTTATAAGGAGTTTTGATAAGTAAGAAATCATAACATATTGAATCTTTTTTTTTTTGAAACATCCTCTAAGTTATAATATATTTTTGTTGAAACAACCATTACAATTTGTTTGATTTTTAATATATGATAATAAATAAATTATATTTCTATTTAAAAATATATATAAAAACCGATTAAAATGTAAAAATATATTGTTATGAAATGTATTTGTCACTCTTTGATGGAACTAAATCAAAATTTGATACGAAATATACATCTTGATACCAAATACTTAGTTGAAAACAATGTATTAATTCATCCATAGATCAATAGAGAAGATGCAAAACAATCTCATTTGCATAACATAAAAGCTCTATTCTTCCGATAACTCGGCAATAAGTATTCTTAATTTATATACAATATAGATTATACTATACCACATTGATACCAATATGCCTACGATTTTGAAAATTCAAACAATAAACGTCATACGGTCTTTTTTTCTCTCTTGGATTTTCATAATGGTTACCAATGTCAATAATGGTTTCATAATTGTCTAAAAATCTATTCATGCAACCGGCAAAAAGAATTCATCCACAGATCATCTTCATTTTAATCATGTTTTTGATACATACCAACTTACATGAATATTTTTCAACAAAGTACTTGGTACGTGGATGTATTTCGTATCAAATTTTAATTTAGTTCCATCATAAAAAACTGACGATACATTTCATAACAATATATTTTTACATTTTAATCGGCTTTTATATTTTCTTAAATAGAAATATAATTTAAAATTTGTATTTATTTATTATCATATATTAAAAATCAAACAAATTGCAATGGTTGTTTCAGCAAAAACATATTATAATTTAATCTTAAAATAGATAAGACTTGAGCTTAAAAATTATCATGTATTGAAAAAAAATTACTTATATTTTAGCATATTGACAAAAAAATCATCATTGATATTTTGTTTATAATTTAACCATCAAAATCTGTTATTGTTTTTGGTAACCTGCAAATTAAACCAAATTACAAGTAATAACATATTCTAATAGTTAAATTGCAAAAAAAAAAAAGGATAATGCCATAAAAAACCTTAAGTTTGGCCGAAAATATCGGTTTTACCCTCCAGCGAATTTTTGGTTCGTTTATACCGCAAACTTGCCATTTTTTTTGTCGGTTTTATCATTTTTACCTGTTATAGCAGGTTTTCAGGTTACCATAAAATATTATTTGTGAAAAAACCCTTAAGTTTACAAATATTTCGCAAAGAAACCCTTAAAATTATAAATCTTTGCTCTGGAATATGTTATTAAGGATTCTCAAAGTGACATCACTTTATATAAAGACCGAATGAAATAAACTTAGTAAGATTAATATATTTCGATAGCGAGCTGCTGCTTTGGACCGTTTCCTTACCAATACAAACTTTTCTAGTTGTGGTATTGACATTCCTTGTTCCTTATGCCCGATTTGTAACAACTCTACAAAAAGATATTTGGCATGTGCTCATCAAGTGTTAAGTGACGTCCCAGATTCTTCTAAAGATAAGTCGTTGGTGTGATATATGCTTGTCTAATCTTATTCTTATCCGTCATTTACGCGGTTTTTTGGATTCGTTGTATATATCCATGACGCGTAAAATAATTTTAGTGGTTATCATAGTGACTATGAGGTGACATTATTTTCATGCAATTATTTTTTAAATGAAGATAAAAATATTTTATATGTTTAAAAGGTTTTTATTTCATAAATAATAATACATCATATTTTTTTATAAATATAAATATAGTTGTATAAGTTAATATTTCTGAAACACAAACATAAATATTTTATATGTATAAAATGTTTATCTATTTTAGCATAGCTAATTATTAGTTAACAAACGTTTTTTAAGTTTGCTTTGAAAAGTTTAAGTATTAATTAAAAAATATATTTAAATTTTGATAACACGAAATAATTTTTTAAAATTTAAATATTAAAATTTTATATCGAACCAATATAAAATTTATCGTACTTAAATGTAAAAATATGTTTTGGTTTTGGTTTCGAAATATAAATACGGTAAAATTTATATTGGTTTGATATAAACTTTTAATATTTAAAATTTAAAAACTATTTGGTTTTATCAAATTTTGAATATGTATTTATATTTTATATGTTTATAATCTTAAGGGTTTTTATATAAAATATTTATAAACTTAAGGGTTTTTTTGAAAATAATATTTTATGGTAACCTGAACACCTGGTATTACAGTAAAAATGGCAAAACCAATTTTCGATCAAACTTAAGACTTTTTATAGCATTGTTCCATATCAATATAACGAAAATATAGATTTTTTTTTCACCTTTCTACTTTCCTACGGTGCATTCAACCATTCCAGCTTTATCATGCTAAACAAATGAGATTGCAACACCTATAACTAGAACATAACAACACAAATCAAATAGTTTAAATTCAGTTTTTATTACACAACCTCCGGATAATTCTTGATTAAATATACAAAATCAAAAACCAAAAACCTTGAAAGAACCAAAAACCTTGATAGCGATGTAGTAGAACCTGAAAACTGAGAACCCGACGTCGAACAAAACCAGGTTTATTAAACTCAAAACCACTCAAAACCCAACATCGAACAAGATAAGGTTTATATTCTGTTCAGTTTTGGCTTTAGGCATAAACCAAACCAAACCGATTCATGTCTATCCATATCAAATTTTATTTTATCTTTTAGGTGATCATCTTATACTCATACATAATAGTATAATACCATGTTATTTGCTATAGAGTTTGACTTATGTTTGAAAGTATATGATATTCCCAAAAGTTGAAATACCTTTTGTGAAAGCATCTTAACATCATTATAACACTTTAATAAAGCAAATATTCGTGGGATATTTGTTTGAAGTCAAATGGGCATAATGGAAATGACATACTAGTATCAAAAAGTTTGGCCATGATCATGATGGGTGGCATTGTGGCATGGGCCATTATTGTGCAACCAAAAGCCAACAGTGGTTCAATTCAATCATCCTCATCCTCAACTCAATTAACCAACTTTCCATCATGCTACAACATCTCATCATTGACTTCTTTAATTCTTATAATTAACTTAAATTCACGGATATTCATGATTTTCAAGTTATCATTTTCCAAAACCAAACAATACATCCAAAATATATTTAAAACATTATGTAAAAGTTGTGAAAGAATAAGATTGCACGTATATATATATATATTCATTGTTACATGACCATAAAGAGAAACATATACCCCATAAAAACCCGGTTCAAATTATGTACATCACCACAAAGGCACAAAAGAAAACAACATTATAACCCAAAATACAAAATCATGAACCCTAATTCCCAAAACCATTTATTCCCTTTACACAATTATATTTCCCTCAAATCCCTCACCTCGGTCTCGGTCGAACCAAATTAGCCTGAGACCGAGTCAACATCTGAGTCATCGATGGAGTCTGATACGATTGAACCAGGCTTGAACCATCGGTCGAGTCCCCACGAGCCGTGGCTCGTTGCCATGAATGTGAGCTCAAACCCGATAAGATATAAGCCCGACCCGATGCCTCATATACATGTCGGCTAGCCATCCTCTCTTGCATTTCCTTAAGCTCCGCATCTAGAGCCATACAAAGCCGGTCCCCTGACCTAGCAGACACGGTTCCCGATAGAACCGCCCGACACCCCTCGAGTGCACCCACGGCTCGTGTCAAATCACCCTCTTCCGCTGCTTCTCTCGCTTGTACCATGGCTTCGGCCGCTTGTAACCGGTTCCTTTGTCGATCAACTTCAATCGAAACGACATTTTCACTCCCGACTTTTTCTGGTCTTTTAATCGTAACATTTTCGGTTTCTAATTTCACGGTTTCCTTTGTGAATGGATCGGTGTAATAGCAACGTACTTTGAATAACGAAGAAGTCAACTCTTTTTCTTTTGGCACGTTGACCAAGGCAAGAAAATCACGTTCCTCATCGGCGTACATATCGCCGACATCGATGATGCCGGATCTTCGATCCGGCATCAAGTGATTCTTGTAACTTCCGGCTTTTAAAGATTTAAGACGAATTCCCGGGTTTTCGGTTTCGATAATCAATTGTAAACTTTTCACCACAACACTCAAAAGTCCACCAATACATTGAGCAAATGCATCTTGAATCACACTTTCGGTTTCAATAAACGAAAACGTCCCCCCGGAGATTTCAGAAATCGAATGCATCAATGACGCATCATGATCCGTTCCAAACCCGAATGTATGGACCGGAATCTTAATTCCGGTTCCGACCCCGGGAAGAAGTAATTGATAGTTTGACCGGTTCTGGGCACCGGAATTGGAATTGGAATTGGAACTGGCGGTTACAGTTACGGTATAAGTATCTTGTCCATCGGATAACAATATTATACTCGCGACCGGATTTTTCTCACAGCGATCTTCCATCACTTTCCTACCCTTCCTCAACCCTTCGGCGATATTCGTGCCGCCGTTTGCCGCCAGAGAGTTAACGGCTTGAAGCGCATGTTGCTTCCCGGAATCCGACATTTTCCGTAGCGGAAACAACCGGCGGGCGGTGGAGGAGAACGCGATCACCGCCAGCCGGTCCGCGGGCCCAAGGTTTTGTATCACAAAACCCATGGCCCGTTTAAGTAACGCGAGCTTCGTGCCCGCCATACTACCGCTTATATCAAGAACCGTTACAAGGTCAACCGGGGCCCGTGGGGCCCGGTTGACCACAGTTTGACCGGGGTTGACTGAAGTAGAAACCGGAGCTTTTAGGTGGATCAAAACTGTAAAATCATCGGTGGTGGTGAACCGTGGGACCGCCGGAACTTCGGTGTAAGTTTCCATTTTTACCCTTTGTGAATCTAATCCATTTGATGTGGTTTTTGAAGATTGGAGATCTAAGGGTTCATCATCGTTGAAGACCGGCGGCTCGTTCGCCGGAAAAACAGCGGCGGTGACGTGGCGGTTGGAGTTGTGTTGCGGCGGAAACTGGCGGATCACCGCCATTACCGGATTATTTAAACCGGTTGAAACTTGTAATGGGACTTCTTTCCATTTTGCACGACAAATTGGACAGATTTGATTGCCATGTTTTACATTTGAAGAAATACAATGAAAATGGAATGAATGCGAACATTCTGCTGTGAAAATTGCTTGACCTTCTCCCCTTTTCATTGATGTCAAACATATTGTGCATTTCTGGAAGTTGAGATGAGTCGAGTTAAATGTGAGAAATAGCAACTTACTTTCATTTCATTTTTATATATTGTCTTTTTATTAATACTTTACAAAAAGACTGTTTTTATGTTGTAAGAAGAAAACATGAACGATTTTGCTACTACTACAACTGTCATAAAAGTCAAAAAACATCAAAAAGACACGAACAAAACAACCGAATCGAACATAGGGTTTGACGTAAGTTTTTGGTTGTTTTTAGAAATTCCGTCTTATTGTTTAATTCTTTTAGTTGATTATTAAGTTAAAAAGATAACACAGTCAACAAATGAGGCCGTTTACTTTTTGCACGAGGGGTATAATTATAATTATAATATAATCCTCTTATATTGACAATGAAAGGTAAAATGTGAACAAATCCCCGAAATAAGTATAATATATAAAGATGTCATGTTTCAACGATTAATTAATTGGTTTAGAGGACCATTTATTCGTTAGAAAAAATCAAATTTTAAATTTTAAATATAGTATATGATGTTCTTGCTGAGAAATAAACAAACCATCAAGTTTCTTCTAAATTGGCGTAAAAACAAATAATATTGTTTTCTTGTATTGTAATAAATAACCTTTTTCATTGGTTTTTGATGCATCCTAATTTTTACTTTTTTTAGGCTTCCTGTTATAATCTTTTTAATTTCCTTGGTTTTTGGTACGTCCGAATCCGAACTTCACTTTTTCTTCGAAAAATAAGGTCAAAAATAGTAAAGCAGGCAAATTTTCAAAAGAAAAATCTTGATTATGAACGCAAATTTTAAGAACAGCTTCCAAGTAAAACAGAAGAGAATACAAAATCTAACCCGACAAATTCAAAAAAGAAAAAAATTATATCTCAATTCTTTGTTTCATAAACTTTTTAATCGAGAGAAAAATTAAAACACCCACATGATGACATGGATATGAAACTCAAATTATAGTTGCTTAGATAAAATGTAGAAAATGAGGAGTTTTAAGAACAAACCTTAGAAGACCTGCTAAAGCTTGTAGACAAGCGTAAGGCCGGAGACCACGGCCGAGGAGCAGTGGCAGAGCCTCCGAGGCTCCGCTGGTCAGACGCCGGAGACAATAACGCAGCGTCGGAGCACCTCTCCGATTGGGGTGGCGAGACGTCTGCATCGGCCGGAGGCACATATACACACAAATTAGAACCCAAAGCCATCTTCACTTTCCTCCATTTACTTCCCATTTCACCAAATCCGTTGGAATTAAAGAAGATCTGGAAGTGGGTGTTGAGCAGGATTAGGTGAAATTGAAGGTGATAAATGGGGGTCGAAGAAAAATTGGGGGAAATAGGTGAATAGCACGGAAACCTAGAAGGGGTTTTAAAGAGGTGTGGAAGGCTACGACTGAAGAAAAAGGGGGTTTACAGTTCAGAAGATAATGAATGGTGATGGGGTTGATTTTACAAGAATTGTGTACTCTTCTTGGCGGGCATTTATTGAATTCGATAGAGGGGAGAGGAGGAAGGGAAAGAAGAATGATCTACTCTTTCTATGTCTATTTTCTTTTTATGGGGTATTTTGTTGACTTTGGGTTTTTGAGTCTGTGGGGAATATTATCGGAATAGTACAAAAACTTTACCCTAAATTCCCATCCACTAAAGTTTTTTGTTTTATTTTTTTATTTTTTTAGAGTATTACGAAACAAACCATCAAGAAGCTAGAGAAACTTACAAAATACAAGCATAAAACGGAGAGCTACACCAATCAAACCGATTAACATAATTATGAAGAGATTTATATTTAATCAAATTATACGTTAATAACGGGATATTCGTCTTTAAGGGAGAGCTCCTCGAATTATTGAACACCAAATTGTTACGAGCATTCCAAATCACCCAAATTATTGTATAAATAGGGTCAAACAAAGTTTCTTCCTATTTTTTCCATGAGCTTGGGCATTCATAACTTTTAAAATGGCTTATCTACTTGAGGGAGGAGAAGAAAAGATCAAACTTCACTTGCCTAGCCAACTCGATACCTATACCAAGTAAGAGCACTTGAAGAAAACATGATCGATAGTTTCTTCCTCATCATTACAGAAAGGACAGGTAGTGTTATTTAACGAGACTCCAGGCAACAACAAACTATGAGCCACCGAAATCATGTCAAGTAACATGCGCCAAACGAAACAGTTGATCTTGATGGGCACCCAACTGACCTAAAAAATCCTTGTAAATAGTTATCCACCACAATCTTATTCGCCATAAATCTCCTACATGACTGAAACTCCCCGAGGCATCTCCTTTCCAGATCCCACTTATCTGGATCAGAAGACAGTCTTAAATCTACCAACAAATAACTCAATATCGAAAGTTCAACTGATTCCTTCTCTCTTCTCGAGTCTCTCTTCCACAACCATTGAAAGTTTACCTCATTATCAAAAGACAACCTTTTTATAGATAATTTTTTAGAGATTCAGTGTTATACAAGTATGGAAAATAGTCCTTACGGATGACATCCCCAAACCACTTATCTTTAAAAAAATAAGTGGAATTTCCAACTCCCATATTTCTTTCGAACAAATCATCAATATTGATGCTCCAATCTTCCAAATCCCATATAACATTGTAAATTGAAAGCCAAGTACCTGGAATCCTACTCTTCATAAAAGGTTTACCGTCAATTCTGCTAATATTATGAAATAATTTGATGCATGATGATCAAAAGGAATTGCTTTCCACTTTCAAACACCACAACCATTTTACAAGGAGTGCTAGATTTAAGGATCCAAGACACCCTACCTAAGACCACCGTTATATTTAGGCCGAATCACAACATTCCAAACCACCCAATGGATTTTCCAGTTGTCAATACCACCATAAAGAAACCTTCTTCTAACACCATCCAATAACTCGATAACCTTTTTAGGGGCTTTAAAGAGAGCAAAGTTATAAAGAGGAAGGATGCTCAAAACAGAATTAACAAGCATGAGTCTACCCCCAAAGGAAAGATTCTTAGTTTTCCACATTGAGAACTTGCTTTTGAATTTCTCAATAATAGGAAGACAATTCCTAGTAAGCTTCATGTTTGCACCTATGGGAAGACCAAGATAGGAAAATGGAAAAATAACGGCCTTACAATTGAAAATATTAGCAAAACGGTCAATATCAACAAACTCCACTCCCACTCCAAAGACCTTACTATTATAGAGATTAACTCTCAACCCGGAAGCTAGATATAAGCATCTTAGCATTCTATTTAAATTGATGAGATTAATTCCGGATCACTCTCCCACAAAAGTTACGTCATCCGCATACATAAGGTGAGATAGATAAGGTTCGTTATTAGGTTAGGAGATACCTTGAAAGATATGATGATCACAAGCTTCCTTAAGAGCAACACTAAGACCTTTAATATCAATTATAAAAAGGAAAGGAGATAAAGAAACTCATTGTCTGATATCTCTCTTAATCTAAAATTCTTTAGTTGGAGAACCATTGACCAAGACCAAGTCGAACGTATTATCAGAATCTGCTTTGAAAATTAAAACTTTCTTTTTGTTCTTCTTCGCCTATAAATATAACTCATTCAAGACAAGCGAGCCATCGAGAATGCTCCTACCTGCAACATAGGTCGATTGCTGAAAGAACCCCTTTCTATACTTTCATATTTCTGAAAGACCCAAACTTTCATACTTGACAATATA